AGCCATTATTCGTCCTGTGAAGACTGGACTGGACTGGACTGGACTGAACTGAACTGAACTAGAAACACAAACGGGACGGTGTTTTAAGTCTTACCATGGTTGGTGCATATTTCGCTCATTTCACGAATGTTTAGCCCCAAAACGAACATATTGAACTCCATAGGAAACGTCATGGATATAGATTCGACTATTTTGAGAGAAAGTACGTTTTCCAGTTATAATATGATTGATGCTTGTCAGGCGAAAAAAGGAGGCTCGTGAGCCGCACGAACGCAGTGCGAAGGCGCGTAAGCTCAGGGGTCTGAAGGCGAAATTAGCGAACAAAGAAAGATTCAAGGAGAAAGTTCAAATGAAGAAGACATTGCGAATGCATGAGCTGAAGAAAACCAATCAGAAGGCAGGTGAAGCTGGTGGACCTGGGGAGAAGCCAGCATATCTTCTCGATCGAGATGAACAGATTTCTGCCAAAGTGCTTTCAAACACTGTAAAACAGAAGAGAGCCGAAAAAGCGGTGAGTAAAAATGATACGAAAAACGAACCCTAGTACTTGCATATTGATTTTCGTATTAAGGCTGACGGTAATAGAAACTTTTCAACTAGTAGGCCTGTACCAAGCCAAAGAATAGTTCGCTAGTGCGTTGTTTTTTCTCTTTTATGCCTCGCACCAGTGTGTGATAAACATCAAATGAGGCTGAACCCATAGTCCCGAAGACATGCTGTTCAGTGATGGTTATCGGCGGCATAATCCTCAGGAGTGGCAAACCACACAAGACCTCTCTAGGTCTATCTTGTTATAGAACCGGGTGACAGCAAAGCTGCCTACTACCAAAGTTGGGTGGCGGTGGCCGGGCGTGAACCTCGGACCGCAGGGTTGAAAGCATGCCGGTGTCAGTGGCTTAACCACTTCAAAAATATATATAACGAGATTAGTCACTAATGTTTCAGCTAAGGGAGCTGGTGTCAAAAATGACCGGAGCTTGCGCATTACGTTTTGTTTGTGCTACTCCATAAGGGGAATTTATAATAGAAGTGGCTTAATAGGGGAAATTCCAAGTTATCAAATTATATCCTGCTTTATTCAACCATATGGCGATACCCATTGTGGGCGTCTGCAGTCTGCCTTTATGAACCAGTTGAAACAAATAAGAACGCTGTACGCTTCTCATGTCTGACCTCGCTTAGAGTGGGCGCGCTCCGTGGCATATTCTTCGTCATCAGCTGAATTTCAGAAGTTGGGGAGGGTTAAACGAGCTACCACTAACCTTGTCGCCGGGTTATGTGGACACTACTACATTGAACGCTTGAAGGCCAGTGAACTGCTCTCGGGGTATCCTCCGCGGTGATATGGGCCCGGAGCCGATGGAGTACTTCCCTCTGCGCGAGCAAAACTGGGCACGGGGACCTCAGCTCACATTGTTGGAGCTTCCGTCAATCGGGTTACCTGTCACGTACCGACTGTTGCGCAGGGTAACCAACTTATCGAATACTCTTCCAACTGTTGTAGTCGATGAGATCAATGGCAGCTCGTTCAGGAGAAGGCTTGACTGCCATCTTCATGAAAAGTGGTATGCAGCTTAGACTAACGCATACCTCGAGTCAGTGGCGATGAGGCCCATATGGGAGGTTTCCTCCTGCGTGTAGTCGACTAACATCGAACATTTAACGGTGTACAACATAAACCTGAGTGAATTTAGTTATTACTGATGGCGGTTGGCATCTTTACTGTTCGACTGAGTGCCACACCTATCCTACCGGGGCTATGATATTCTGCTATAATTTACAGTGCACAAATGGCCTTATGAGATTAAGCATCTCAAATAGCACCTGCTGAGGAAGCTCTACTCACCGCATTCACGTTGCCGAGGTGTTTCCCCTTTAAACCCAGAGGACGAAAAGCCAACATCCAAGGACTTAACTGAGTCGTTTTGCCAACGGCAGTGAACTAGGGGAGGTAGCGGAAAATCCTTGTTCATCACAAACCAAGAAGAAGAGTACGAATCATACTGATATCTTCCTCGTTTTGGCACTGTTTCCTGGCTTAGTTTGTCATCAAGGTGTATATTGAGCACCTTAGACGCTTGACTCTCACAAACGAGTCATGAAATCATAAAAATTATTGTACTATTTTTAGAATAGATTAGTCCATTCGATTGTTCAAAGGAATCAGACACTCTTGATGGTCTTGGGTGAGGGTTTCACTCCTTGGGAGATCAATAATTCCCCACTAGTTGGATACATTTAAATGCGATAAAAATGTTCGTGATAACCGAAGGCCATCAAAAGGGCCTGGTGCCTCTGAACAATCGAATGTGTTAACCCAAGCTTGATAGTCTAAAAATTGATTGAGCCACTCGTATAAGGTGATGACCGTCGACCGTGTAGCTCGGGTTTAAAGTCCCAATGAGAAATGTTCGCGGTTCGAGTCTTGACAGAGACACAAAACGTACGCACTGCTGACGAGTCCTAAACAGGACGAAACAGCTGTCCAGTGCTCTTTGTCGGTTATCAAAAATATTTACCGCATTACTGCTCTATGACTTATTTAGCACAGTCTGGATTCAAACGTGTGTGAAATACATAGATGCTTGACTCCATCTAAAGGTAATACGTTACAATTACCTGGAGTAATTCAATCTCTTAAAAACACCCACAAGATTGACGTAGAATACCGAGAGTAGGTTTCCCATCGCATATCTTTTTTACAGGTACTGTTCATCTATCGGTGTTGCCCCACGTGTTCGTATTCGCTTTGTTAGTTGATATCTGTGTATTGAGCTAATTTCATACAAATCAGCTCACAGGCTATCGAGAACTAATTCATTTAGTGCTATTTTTCATTCTTAGGGCAAATGGGAGGTACCTTTACCCAAAGTTCGCAGCATCTCCGAGGCCGAGGCTTTCAAAGTGGTTCGAACGGGCAAATCCAAACGCAAAGCTTGGAAGCGAATGGTCACAAAAATGTGTTTTGTGGGTGATACATTCACGCGGAAACCACCCAAGTTTGAGCGGTTCATACGACCCATGGGGCTCCGTGTGCGCAAAGCAAATGTCACACACCCGGAGTTGAAAGCCACTTTTCAGCTGCCCATTATCGGAGTAAAGAAAAACCCCAGCTCCCCAATGTATACATCCTTGGGTGTGGTCACAAAGGGTACCATCATTGAGGTGAGTTTCTTCTTTTTGCAGGTCATTTTTTGCTTCAAGCGATTGTTTTTATTATTTGTGACGAATGTCCTGGGACGTGGTGATTGCCATACTATGTACTCTCTATGTAGCGCTTATTTAAACTTTAGGCACACCGTGTAGTTTTCTGTGACACATGTGCCGTGCTTATTACTTAGACAAGAAGTAAAACACTCATGTTTGAACGGAACGAATAAAAATTGTAAGAAAATGTTACGAATGTTTTTGTGAAAACCGCCAGTGACCAGTTGTTTCGTCCTCGTTGAAACTGATCGGCAATGCGTAACATCTTTCTCTGAAAGTAACTGCCCCGAATTGGACTTCAACTGCTTTCGAGTGTTAAATGAATACATTTTTTTGAAACTTTTACAGCGTGGTCGAGAGATCTACAGCTGAGTTTAGTGTAACCGTCAACTTCAGTCCGGTTTAATAAACTAAAATTCACTACCACATTGGTGTAGCCATGCTTGGTAAGCGTTTTGCAACTTCAGTGTAAAATGTTGCTAAGAGATTGGGTTGGCCAGCCCCCAACCTCACCCTGACTATGGAAGTAGTAGAGGAAGCAGACAAATTGTGCTACCTGGGCGGCTGTCTTACCGGTCGGACGCGTCTCATGTAAATTTTTGGCACGCCTACAGAAGACTCGGTTGGCAGTTGATAACTTGAGACAACTGTTGTACCGTCGCGATATCCGATTGTCTATNTTGTCTATGGGGGGTTGAGTGTATGCTGCAGAAATTCAGCCAGTGCTGTTATACGGTGCAGAGACTTTGCTATTATGGGAACGGGATAAAATAGATTGTTGGTGTTCGAACACGCTGTCTATGCCCCATTGCACGTATCTGGTGGGGTAATCGGACAAGCAGTCCTCAGGTTAGGCGTGGAGTTTTAGGTAGTCGCGGTCGTCCACTGGAGCAAGTGGTCGACCCCCATAGATTACGCTGGTTGGGACATGTGCTGTGCATGTCACCAGATAGGTTGCCACGCCGAACGATGTTTGCCTAGGCAAGCGGCTGATGGGGAAAAAGTCGCAGGTGGTCAAACTAAGACCTGGCATGAGGGTATGAAAACCCTAACCAGGAGACTGGGTTACAGGTTCCGTTAGGCTTCCGAGATTATGGTCACAGGTGGTCACAGAGATATGGCTGAGTGTCGCAAACAGTGGCGCTCATGCATCTACTCATTGTTATTGCAACCTAAGTCTACATGAATTCTCTATCTTCCGCCTGAGTTTGCTCTCAACATTTCAATCGTCATTCTGCTCTTTTATCTAAATGGGGCTCCAAAAGACAGCAACCAAAACCGGCACAAGAAAGTGCCTGGTTAATGGTTGTAAAAACTGAAACTGAGCGGCCACACCCCTGTTCATCGCTCGCCGGTCGGTTTAAATCAGATGAGAGCACCTGAGTTTGTTCATCTAAACCCCATTGAGGTGATCTTTGTTGCTTTGCCCATCTTCCCTCTGGTTGTGCGAAGACCAGGGACTTTATCTCAAACAGAAAGCGAGTGACGCAGAAGATAGATCTTTTTTACCCTGTTCTCGAGGATGACCATGAAACTGGCACATGGAAACCGCTAAAAAAATCAGTTATACATTTTATTTGAGTGAACATTCTAGATGTTAATTAAAGTGTTACAGTAGGGACTGTTGCAAATGCTTCCAATTTGTGTAATGTGTTTCTTAGATACTACGATCGGTGTTAGGGTGGGGGTGTTGCACCCAGTTCAGTTTGAACAACCATTAAGCATGCACTTCTGTGCGTCGCTCTTGGTTGCTGTCTTTTGGCTGCCTATGTGGATGAACAAAAGGAGGAAAACAGGAAGGTTGAAAGTAGGATCAAAGAGAAAATTGAGAAAATCAGTGGGTTAATGATGCAAATAATTGAGATGTACAAACGCCACTGTTTACGACACCTAGCCATATTACCCAGTGTCTCTAACCACTGCGTATGGTCATCCCGAGGTCCCCATCCAGGAAGTCTAACGGGACCTATGTGACCCAGACTCTTGATAAGGGTTTTCATACCTTCGTGCTAGGTCTTAGCTTGACCACCTTTGGCTTTATTCCATCCACTACCTGCCTCGGAGACGATCGCTCACCGTGGCAACCTATTTGATGAAATGCATTAAACATGCCCCAAACAACGTAATCTATGGAGGTCAATCACTTCATCCAGTGGGCGACCACGAATACCTAAAACTCTACGCCTAACTTCAGCATTGCTCGTCCGGCTGCCTCACCAGATTCGTGCAATACTGCGTAGACAGCGGTGTTTAAACACCGTCAGTCTATCTTCATCCTGTTTTCTTAATGGCCAGGTTTCTGCGTCGTATAGCAGAACTGGCCGAACTGCCGCAGCATATACTCAACCGTTTACAGATAACCGGATGTCGCGACGGTGCCACAGATGTATGTCAACCGAGCCTTCAGTATGCATGTGCATCCGGTCTTCAATCAGCTTTCAGAGAGATATCGGGTGCATATGATGCGCCACTGTAAGATCAGTTCTACTTTCCGATTGTAAGACCTTGAATTCGTGGATAGAAGAAACCCATCGCCGATCCCTACGTAGTCTCGTCCAGGTGAGATGGAGTGAGCGAGTTAGTAGCCTAAATATAAGTAGTCGTGTATTTGGGAAAAAGAATTCGTCATACCGTCGAATGCAGTTCAGTATATTTCGCTGGTTAGGACACGTTGTGCATATTTGACAGACGCCTACCACACCGAGCTTCATTTATAGTGACCGTTTCTGGCTGGAAGAAAACCCGTGGAGGTCAGCAGATGACATGGAAACGAGGCATGGATAACTACACAGGGTTGGGATCCAAAAGACTCCCTAACTGGTTGGTTGGAGACACTAAAAGACATGGTAGTGAGCCGACCGCAGTAGCGTTCTTAATGTCACTTCTTGTTAAATCCAAATGCTTGAATTAGTGTACATGCACAATTGAATTATGTACTTTGTGTGCTGATTATGAAGATTTACTCCTTATCCACCTTACATATTCTCACATTCCCTGTATGCTTCATAGGTCTGGCATCGATCAATGATGATCGCTTCACTGTATTCCGTTTTACGATGATGATTACAATGAGGGTAGGCCTAGTTTTGAGTAACAGCAAAGTGGCTGACCGTTCCCATTAGACCACAGTGGTACGGTTTAAAGCTGGGACCAAAGATGAAGCACACGAGTAGGAGCGACTTAAACCGCCCGAAAGTGAAGATGAACACGGTGATCCTTGTCTTGTGTATCGATTCGCATAATGTGATGGTCCCGTTAGGTGATGGACCAGACATGAATCAAGACGGTCGTATCACAGTGCAAGGTTTATGTTTGTGTCAACTAAATCCGAACGTTCTGGATACCATCGCTTTGATTGATACCTGTTTTTTTTTCAAATTGAGCACACAGATTCACGACCAAATATATTGCTCTTATTATCCCTTGTTACGCTTATGAAGATTATTGTGCCGCGGTTTTTTTGGCACACAGTCTAAACTCAGACGTATGGATATATATATATATATATATATATATATATATATATAATCCCTCACCATGTACAATTTCTGTCTGCATCAGACTTATGCTTTGTTTTCGTTGTTTTTCTCCTATTTCGCTCATTCCCTACCGCAGGTGAATGTGAGCGATTTGGGTCTGGTTACCCCCGGTGGCAAAGTGGTTTGGGGCAAATACGCACAGGTCACAAACAATCCGGAGAATGAAGGTTGTGTGAACGCCGTGCTCATTGTCTAATTGTCCGGACACCATTGTGCTTGGCTGTGTAAATATGTACTCAAGGGGGTTTGTGCGACCGGGGCAATTGATGAGATTTTTTTTGATTCTTTTTGTATTCTTTCCTCCTGTTGTACGGGTTTGTCACGAGCTGTGAGGTTCTGTTGCTAACGTTCGGTGTTTCTTCTTCGATAAACTCCATTAGATCGAGGTTGTAGCTCACTGAGCTCGCTGAGTGTGCAAAGGGTGCAAATAAGACAAGAAACAAGGCACGAGGGAATTCTATCACCAGTGCGGTCCATGAGTCTATCCCAATCTGACGATGTACGTTGTGCAGTCTTCCGGGAAATACACACGATAAGTTCAAACTTCGCCTACTGGTCCGTAGGTTGTGTGCCGCGGGTGAAGCAGAGTGAATGGGGGGGGGGAGNATATTTTTTGACAGCTAGAAAGCGTATGTGAAAAAGATTAGGAGAAAATCAAAAGAGTGATTGTCACAGGCTCTGGCAAGCAAGTTTTCAGCACGACTGCTGGGATGTCATCATGTCAGCTTGGATATATCTAGCTATCCCTGATTGTGATTTTAGGTCATAATGTGGAGCCGTGGTCGATGTTGGGTGAGGAAAAGTGGGGTATGGAAGTACCGTAGAATTTGAGGCAATGATGCAGAACGTGCAGCTTTGCGAAGGTCAGTTTGATAGCCTTCCGATGGATAAATTTGCTTTCGGTTTTCTGGTAAAAGAACCGATCTTGACACCGATTGCATAAGAACCAGAAATTCGCGGACTTGTAGCGCCGGAATGTGTTTCGAGGAAACGTGGAGACGACAAATGAAGTATGCAAATTATAAGCGATAAGACAATGACCCGATTCGTCAGATGTAGATGAGTTCCGGAACCGAGGGACTGATTGTAGGTTAATATGTAATTCAAGGCATAGGTTCGCTCCTCCGTGTACGATCGAAGACGTGGGTGGGGAGGGTAACCTATCGCAATGTTTACAATCACAAATGCTTCCGCCTCGGCGGTGGAGTGTGCTATCCAGTTGCTCTTGTGAATTTGGATGGTTATCTCACTCAGTAGAATTGCAAAATGTTTTCAAAGAAAGCCCCAGTATGGTCTGTGGTGGGTGTATTGGGTTGTGGCTGATCACTCTTCCTTTGCACCTCGCCAAATGCCCCTATACCACTGAGTGTCTCAAATAGTCTCTGCTGAGAAAGCCTAACTCACTGTATTGCCATGCTGTAGGTGTTTTCCCACCAAAGAAAGGGGGCCTAAAGCTGACATTCGGTGCCACAACCGGGTCAGAGAACCATTGGAAGTTCAACAAGGGGGAGTTGGCTAAAAACCCTGATTCAAAACCAGGCAATAAGTGACGTACGAACCAAACACTCACACCTGCCTGGTCGTGGCAATGGTCATCGGTTCGGTTCGATACTGAGATGTATTGGGCACCTTGGGTGTGCGACCTAGTCCAGAGGGTATAGGATCCGCTGAATGGAATGCCATTTTCACATACCACCACGCTATCTTGCAGGTCAAACTTTGGCTAGCCGAAACCTCCAATAGTGAATTCTCCAAGAAAATACATGCAGGGATTAAGACCTTGAATAAAGATGAAATCAATCGAAGAGTGTATGCGAGTTCGACCGTGTGAAACGATTTATGTACTGCCTAATGTGCCGGCCCAGGACGAACGTCTTTGAGAAACTGGAGAACTTAGTCAGTGGGCCTGATTTGGCGAAACACGTGAGGCACAAGTAGGAAGTGCATGTTCAGCCATCCTGTAAAAATCAACCTTTTGCTTTGTTCTATTGACGAGAAGGACAACCTCTGAGCTGTTAAATTTCATCACTCTGCTGTGAAATTCCTATGGATACAGTTGAATGATAAAGTGCGGAGAGTATACTGCAGCAAATCTCGGGGCACGCTGGTCCAGTTGGATGCTCGGAAAAAGTCAGAGCTAAAGTTCACCAAAGAAACGTGTTTTGGGTATACTAGGGAGACGGGAAAGAAAGAACAATCACTTCGAAGTTTTGTGCATTATGGAGCGGTTTTCTCTGATATGACTTGACAAAAAAGCGACTAACTTGACGTTTTTCGATTTTTCTCCGGACAATTTCGCCGCAACGCGGTCTGGTGTTTGCTGCAGAAAATTAAGCTATTTATTTATGTACATGGCCACATGACACTAAGGCGGATTGCACTTAGGTGTTTGAGGGGTAATTAGGATAGGGCGAATGTGATGCAGTTTCTTTTGTTGGTAGAAGGAAGGTGTGTCTGTGTGTGATTTATCAACAATTGATTGTAGTTGCGTCAGCCAGTCTGAACAGTCTTGTGTTGCGTCATAAGCAGATCGCCGCTATCGGGAGTTTTATGTTGACGTGGAAAGTGTAAAACTGTCAACATAGAACAAAAAAATAAGGAGTACGACGAAAAAAATCATAGTTGATCCATTGAAAACAATGAAAGAAACCCTAAGTGATTTCTATTCCAGCCCACCTACCCCCCCCCCTCGCAGATCTATTCGAAGAACCGAGCAGTAATCCATTCAACCTATCATTTCATCCGATCTTTTTGTCTAATTACAGTGAAATTTCCTAGCAGATACTGGTAGTAAATTCCTTAACCATACACACCGTACTTATGACGAATCATCAAACTCATTCCGTATACATTAGAAATCCACAATCGAAGTATGCGCCAGGATTTTACACGGGTAACAACGCTAACCAGTCATATTTCTAGCTTTAATTTTCATTCAATTCCTGGTCACTCGCGCTGTTTTATTAGACATTCCTTGTGTAAAAATCGGCTTGTTTGATAAGTACGTTCCAGCACTGACCAGATAATTTTAGCCATAATTTCTTCCCTCTGCCAGATTCGGACGACGTTTAGGGCATCAAAGTTTCACCTTTCCCTTAAAAGCAATCAGAATGGACAGAGAGAGAGAGCCAGAGATTAAGAAGCAACGATAATGATAGCCCAAAGCACTTGTCAAGTCTCCAAAAGAGTATTTGGATGTTGCGGCATTTGCAATTCGACTACTGTTAACACTTACGTAGTCTAATTATGAATGACGATATCCGTTGACTGCGCTATACAGTATTTGATACCAAATGAACGAATTTCAACGTTGAGCGGATATTTACTCAATAACTACTTGCTGGTGTACTGTTGCTCTGTGCTCATGACTGTACACTTCGGTTTCGGCTTGACTATGTCACTATTTTGCACATCATTCTGTACAGCAGCGTTAGAAATTGTCGGTCCACTAGTTTCATGTGACCTAGTTAAAAGTTTGTTTGAATTTATCGTTTATTTGTCGATTACCTATTTCTTTCGAACCACGGTTCACGTAGGAATAAAATACCTCAGCCCTTACCGTGTGTTCTAAGTCCGCCTAGGCCGTACGTGAGAATAGTCCCAACAACTGCCAGTTTATCGCCGCAGCTGACGCCGCCCATTTGTTTCTACAAAGGTTGACTAGTTTGACGCATTATGTCTATGTGCAGCTAACCGAGAATGACAAAATCCAATTCCTCACGTTCCTGTGATTAGCGTTCCGTGCCCGCGGACAACTTCGTGGAAACATTACTAATCCAGCGATTAATTTCTGGAATGAACGATCAATAGTGTTGGGCGTGCTGCTGGTGGGGATTCGAGATAAAGATGATATGGCAGAAACCAATGCGAGACAAGATTCGGTCAGCCGCCTCGCCGATGTAAATACACACAGTAAATCCAAGTAGTCTAAATGTAGTTTTCCAAGTACTCTGTGCTTCAACAGACAGTTTTGTAGCAGGATCATTCCAGAATTGCACGGGGGCATGTAGGTAACTAGACATTCGCAGGTTCAATGTCCGCGACGACAAATGTTGTATCCCGTATAAGCCAATAAGTATGTAGACAATGAATTAAGTAGTTATTCTATTTCCAGTATGTAAATGCAAACGTAGCCGGTTCGTGGGCCGATGAGCAAGCAGTGCGTCAACACGGAGACAGACAGGCACAATTTGGGCAAGTGTTACCCAACTCGACAGCAGGCCACAACGAAGACCACATGTGTTCCCCGATCGACACAGGAGTCGTGGTTCGCCTTCAAACAAAGACACAGCCCATGCTTGTGGACGAAGTCCGTTCCGTTTTCCATTCCTAGCTCTTCGAAGGTATTGCACTGATTTAAATAGTGGTTGTTCTTGCAACGAAGGCAAGACAAAGTTCGCGAACGATTGATTGATGTAAGCATCGACGTCAAGCCCGAACGACGCTGATCGGGCCAAACGGGCTTCGGGGACCTCTCGAGAGTTGTCGTTTCATCGGAATACATTTCCCTGGCAACAGCCACTTCGATGTGCTCGCGGACCAACTGGTACAAATCCCTAAAGGTGGGTTCTCCAGAACTGCGCAAGACGAAGAAAGCTTTCTTAAACCACTCTATCTTCAGATATTCTGGCAATCTTCTCACCATAGCCATGATAGTCGATTATACATTTAAATCGGCCCCATAGTTCAGCTGCGTGAGTGTGTTCAGGCAGGATTTCAAATCGTCGGCCAATCTATTGAGCGACTTCAGGTCTGCGGTATTCAATGGCAGTCCATCAACAATTCGCTTGATATAACATCGAGCAATTATATGCGGTCTGCCAAAACGAGACTTTAAAACATTTAAAGCGTCCCATAGGCCTTCCTCTGGTGGCAATATTACGCAACTCTCAATGTCTGCTTTTGCTTTGCCCACCAATAATGCAGCAAATATGACAACGGGATACTTAGTGTCGCTATGTTGATATCTTTGTCATAATCAATGAGACTACAAATATTTTGCAACTTTTGTCTATGTTCAACAAAACATATGGGTCGATTCATTTTACACTGGATCCGGAAAGGAATGGATGCATTCCTTTTCTTGACGTGCTGCTTTCCCGAAACGTAGATGGAACCATTGAGAGGAGTGCGTATAGAAAGGAGACGTGGATTGGGCAATACATAAACTTCCACAATGTAGTACCGATCAAACAGAAACGAAACCTAGTGCGTTGTCTAGCCCACCGAGCAAGAAAGATTTGTTCGGACGGAACATTGCCAAGTGAATTAGAGCAACTACAAAGCATTTTCCGACAGAACGGATACTGAGACAAGTTCATCAAACAGTATATGAAAACGAAAGGACAAAAGAGCCAACTGTAAATCGTCCCTAAGAACCGATTATTTATTAATCTGCCCTTTGTCAAGGACGGTATTATCGAACTCTTCGAAAGGTGACTCTCAAGAGCATTAAACTCTACATTTTTCATCCTATATGGCCATTGTTCAGAGACTTAAGGATCGACTGCCAATGTCAGCCATTTCTATGTATATCTATCAATTCACGTGCTCCTGTGGAGCCAGCTACATCGGTCGTACCAGTCGGCAGCTGACTAGACGGATTCAAGAGTATCACCGGCCTGGTTGAAAATAGGACTATCAGAGGCCATTCGTAGCTCAATTGTAAAGCATCTTATCAACTCGGGGCATACGGTAGATGGTGAAACGTCATTTAAGGTCATCTACAGAACCCCGATTAATTTGCCCAAACAACTGCAACAGATTATGGTTTACACGGCCGAGGCGGTGACGGTGGTATCCACCACCCCGAACTGTGCAAACAAAAGCGGATTGTTCACATATTGAGTATGCCATGGCCCGACAATATTGTGATGGAAGTTGGTAAAAAGGGAGTCCCGGCTAGCAAACGAATCAAGAATAGGGTCGTTCCAACCAGCTACGTTCAGACGTCTGTTGCTACGGATACTGGAAAACTGGACGGTGTTGAAGTGTACGCGGACGACATTGCTGTGTTCTGGAAGACACCAGAGGAACATGTCCATCGGCTGGAACCGGTGCTTAGGAGAATCAAAATGCAGGTTTGAAACTAAGTGAAGTGAAATGCCAAATCGCTCGGGACACAATCACCTGTTTGGGTCTCATTGTTGGTGGAGGTAAAATTAAACCGTTGCCCGAGAACGCTGAAGTGATTCAAAATTTCCCCCTCCAAAGTCCAAACGCCAATTACGATCGTTTTTCGGATTAGTAGGATACGACGCAAAATTTGTACCGCACTTCGTTGAAGAAGGTTGCCCCTTGTTCCAGTTGTTGAGAAAGGACAGGAAGTTTGAGTGGATGCCAGAGTTGGAGACGTTTTTCGAAGAGCTGAAAACAATTACGGCCTTTGAGAGATGTCTAAAAATACCAAACCCTGCAGAAACCTTCGCTGTGGCCGTCGATGGAATCGAAACAGTGTTGTCACAACCGTCCGGAGTAATTGAAAATGCCAGCCGCCCGCTCACAGACGCCGAAAGGAAGTACTCGACCACTGGCGATTGTATGGACAATAGGGAAATGGCGAATGAATTTGTATGCGAATACGTTCCACATCAAGACAGACCACAAACCTTTGACGTGGTTGATGACGGCGTGCAACCCGAAAGGAAGACTGGCGCGATGGGTGCATCGTCTTCAGGAACTTACGCTTACCATTGAACATGTTGGCGGCCAAGATAATGGGATTCCTGACTTCCTGTCGCGTCCGATCAACGATGAAGGTGTTCCACCGGAAGCCATCCCAGTTTCCCGGCTGGTTTCGAGCGATGTGGAAATTAATAAATATCAGAAAGAAGGCGGCCTGGTGCGAACCATCTATGAACATCTGCGGTCAAAAACGAAGCCGGAAGAAACGTCACCCGAAATAGGAAATGTGGGATCGCCTGCATTTGAACAATGAGAGCTTAGTGGTTGAAGTGGACATGGAACACGGACACACTGAACACACTGAGACCTAGGCGACTGCCATTCATCCCAGCCGGTCTTCGCGAAAGGGTGTTGAAGCTTGCACACGATGGAGCACACATGGACGGCAACAAGTTCTCGATTCATTACGACGTCGTGTGTTCTGGCCAACAATGCGTCGCGATGTAATTGAATACATCTGTTCTTGTCCCGAGTGCCAACATAATAAATATACGACGACATCAACACCACCAATGCAGCCAATAAACACCCAGAGAGAATTTCAAACCTGGGGACTGGATGTGTTTGGACTTCTACCTATTAGTTCAACGGGGAACAAGTACATTGTTGTGATGTTCGAACTCGTGTCTCCCTGAGTGGAAGCAGTACCAACCTCAGGTCAAACAGGAGAAACGGTTGCTCGGATATTTATAAACGATGTGGTTGCACGATTCGGCATCCCGGAAAATGTCATTACCGACCAGGGACTGTGTTTCGAATCCAAGATTTTTCGGGAGACCTTAGACTGTTATGGCATCAAACGAACAAGAACGTCCACCTATGGAATGACTGAACGGTTCAACAGAACAATGAAGGAATTGCTGAATAACCATCGCGGTGATTGGGAAGAAAGCTTATCGGAAATCCTATTCAACTACAGAACCACATTTCATTCGACAATGGAGATAGCACCCTACGAAATCATATACGGTAGAGAACCCAGAACTCCTCTGGATGCGCTTCTCGGAAGATCTGGAGAACAACTTTCCACGAAGGAGCGAGACAAACTGGAGAGAGAAGCGGTTGAGAAAACCAGGCAAACCAAGCAGCGCAACAAGGCAAAGTATGACAAAGAACACCGATCACAAAAGTTGCAGCCGTTTGTACCGGGACATCTAGTAAAAGTTAAGAATTAAGACAGACCCAAAACAACAGGACCGGGGGACCAGCATGTTCAAGCAGACGTGGATGGGGCCATTCACTGTCCCGGAGAGGAAGAACGCCAGTTTTCGGATCAGTCAGGGTCCTCAAGGAAGATGGATAAATGGTATAGAATTGGAGCGGTGGTACACCCGTGGCAATCATTTTAAAGGAGGGGCGAGGGTGATGGAAGGTGATACAAAGAGAGGCCCCGGCTAGCAAACGAATCACGAATAAGGCCGATTCAACCAGGTGTGCAGAAGTAGCTACTGGAAGTACTTCGCGAGAAAATGTCGACTACCCCTAGAAACGAACGAATTGACAATTACAGCCCGAAGGACAATTCGCATCTAGCTAAAAAGATATCCACCGAATACCGCGACGTCGGAGCTGTCGATCAACGTATCTTGCGCTACGATCAAGTCAAACCAGTCGGAACGGCACGCGGAAGAAGAGGAACCGTACGTGCCAAGTGCGGACTAAAACCAACAGAATGAGGCATGAATCATCCTGCTGCGCGGTTGAGAATTGATTGTACATAATAGAACACATACAACGGTTGTTTTTGAATTGGATCAATAAAAGTTTTGCCAGCCGACTCGCCTTCTCGTTACACTATGATGTAATCGACCATTGTTCAGAAAATCAAACGATGACTGAATGACGGTGTTTGTGACCTGCTTAATCAAGCGATTACAACTCTGTAACCCCACCCCGGTTTATTTCATCATGACTTTTGTTGCCATCTTTTGATCATATATTAATGTAGAAGCTTGCGAATGAGTAATCGAAAAGAATTCTTCGTCTCACTGGTGTTTTCAATGGTCAGTGGGGATATTTCAACAGATATACACATATTAGTGATTATTGTACTTGTGTGACGGGAAAAATGTTGATGACAATGAACAGTCAACGCATTTTTCGGAAAATTTATGTATCACTTCTGACTTGCCGCACCGTGAAACATCGATGTAGGTTGCCACTCCTCCTTCAGTTTTCTTCCTACTTCGTTGTCTATCCTGCCGGTAGCAATCAAAGCCTTCTATTCGGACGAGTACCTCCTCTAAGTTTTGATTTAACCAGGTTTCTTGTATGCATACGTGTTGGAGTTACTGCGTGTGTTAAGAATGGAGGTTAAATCCGAGATCTTCGCAAATAACGAGCGAACGTTAATGTTAACCAATGATGTCACAGTCATCTTAGAAGGAGGAGTGCGAGTGAGAGCTGGTTACCATCAGTAGTCAATGATCAAAGCATTCGCAAGTCTGTTTTTGTTGACTACCTCGGTGTCACACTAGACCATAACCTACCCTGGGTCTACTCATGGTTTTTCAACGTTTTTACAACAGTTCGAAGACTGTCTCTTTATGCATACGAGTTAACTAAATTGGCCGTTCCACATAACCTTATTCATAAATTATTGATTACCAACAGCTTTTACACTGATCATACTGTTTCCCGATATTTATCTCCGGTTTAAAAGAAAAAAATCACGGTGTTAAACTTTTGCCCCGTTACAGTGGAGTCGAGAGGGTTGTTTTGCTTGAGTGTTTTGTTCGAACGCATGTGATAAATTCATTGAAAAGTTGACACGTGATCAGGGACATCGTCTGCATTGCGAAATCATTAAGGCCGTATCGAATTTCCGAATTCAATCCAGGTTTTTTTACTCCTTCCTGCGCATATATCCGTATACAGCAGTAATGTGATTCCTCCTATGGATCGGCCCTCGGGCACTCTCAAGACAGTTGTTACCCACCTCAGGGAAAGAAAATCTTTGCATCATTTTTTTCTTTTACTTTAGCATCAAATTTATTTTCTGATACTGTGTGCTGATCGTGATTTTTACGTGTCCGCTGTCCAAGTTCGTCGAGTACTAAAAACTCACCATTTGGGTGCACAAAGTGTGTCTCTGGACTTGATTTACCTTAATCAAAAGGAATTTGCATGATCTCATAGAAGTCTACTCGTGAATGGAGGTCTGCAGTTAACAAGAGAAGCAATCAAAGTCAGTCCTTTTATAGACACTAGTTGAATGAAACACTTCATTGGTTTGTTCTATTCCATGAGGACCAGCAGGGGCATTTCACTCTGTCCAACTGTCGAACACCTGAATAGACGTGAACACATTGTTTTGTGTTCCCCGTGATTATTTGGCCTTCTTTCATGGAATTATAGCCTCTGCTGATCAATCAATGCTATTATGCAGGTTGTATGGAAATTTCTGATTGGGCTTAAAGCACAGTTAATTTGATCATATGGGGTCTAGCAACAATGTCTCATTTCGACGGATTAGTTCCGTACTTTTTAATATTCAATCATTCACCCGCTCATGGGGGCTAACCTTAAACCCCAGTAAACGTGTTGAGTGTATAGTTTAGCTCCCCCTCTCCACATCCGCAGACCCCATAGTGATAAATAACGATCATTTATTTAGGGTGAATTCTGTCAAATATGTTGGTGTAACCATAGATAGCAATCTTTATTGGTCAACCCACATCCACAACTGCACTGGTAAACTGCGTTACCTTTCATTTCAAATTCGAAATCTCAGGCAGTTTCGGGCATTGCAGTCAGTTATTTCTACCATTGTTTATCAGTGTGTTTTCCCCCATCTTACTTTATTGTTCCTCAGTTATTTTTCCTGGCTTACCCAAACAGGACGCTGCGGTCTAACTATTATTAGCCGCGTCTCTTCTATTCCTGTGAATGAGTTAGCTGTAAAGCTTTCACAGTATCATATAACTTCCTGTATGAAATTTGCGTAGAGGATTCTCACGGATCCTGACCACCTGTTGCACGCAGAACTGACACGTTGTTGCCACCCCTCCACAGGCTCCCCAATTCCGCCCAATTTCATCTGGAATAAAAGCTTACCTAAATTCACCTGTATCGTATCTTGCACGTTTACTCACAAACAAAGAGAGGGCAATAAGTGAACTCTGTCTTAACCTTGGATTCTGAAATGTCCTCAGGTCCGTAAAAGCTTTCTCCCCGTTGAATATGTACTTTGTGACGGTTGGAGTGCATGATTTTTCAACTGAAATGTGAGCTCCAATGATTGCGAAATTTACACAATATAGTACAATACAATACAATACAACATAATAGAGCCGCACCAAATCACAAAGCTCCTTCCATGCAACAACATAATTTCTTGTCGATTCCATTCGAATTTAAAGATGCACAGATCTGGATATTTTTGTTCTCTGTTCTGTCATGGTTAATCAATAAGGAGATCGCTATCATGTTAAACCAGTACAATCATTTGAACTAAAACTTATTTCTCTCGTCGTCCAATCTAGAAACCAAAGAATGGCAATGCAGATAGATTCAACCTCTCTCTATACTTGTTATTCAACCTATGCAATTCCAACTCACATCGAGCTATGAGCTGTGATCCATTGAAATCAAGGCTTTAGGTTATTCTTGAGCACTTACAATGAGTGTTTTACAATTGCGATTACTATTGAAACGGAGAACTACACCCAAGTTCCTCACATTAGTTTATAAATCTGTGAGTATCCTTCGGACTGTAGCAATATTAGAATCTAGTCCAAGGTGAAAGTTTTATAGTGGGGGTTACGAGCTAATACATCTCTTGTCCTCGTAGGATGTTTATGCAAGTGAATAGTTTCTCGGCCAAAGCTTGATAAATATCACATGAATTTCCGAGTAGGAGATAACATATAATATAGTCTTCAACGAATTTGCGTTAATAGTTGTGAAGGAATGCGAGGGATGCCACGTCTTCATCAGGTTTCCGCTTGAAAGATTCGACAGTTGGCACACAAATGACATCAGATGGTAGGACATTTTACTGTTCCGCTTGACGGTTTTAGACTATTGAATTATATTTACCGAATTGTTTTCATTTTGGGTTAGAGTCAAGTCAGAAGTTCGTTTTGCGAACTCGGCTGGGAGAATTTTCTGCCCGCTACACCTAAGGGCGTTACGGTCTTGGGTACCGAAGTGTTCGTCTAACTACATAAGCCCTTCTGGGGATAGGTTCATTTGTGGAAATGTAAATAACATTTGGGTGATGTCCCCACGGTTTGCTTCGATAGGAAATATTCTTCAAAATGAAATCGCCTCGCTCGGGGGTGTTTATCACAATCCAATTTGGGAGCGACTAAAGGAACAATATATATTCCTGATTGGTCGTGCCCCTAACCTCTATCCTTTGGAAAGATCAATATATGAATTCTTCTATTTGATAAGGGTATTTATTATCTGGCCGGGATGAAGTGTCCTAGTGACACAGAGTAAACAAAACGATAGCAACGCCAAGAGAACATACGCGACTGTGCGAAACACTGTAGCGGCGAAAGAGTTATGTACATCCCACAGGGTGGTCACTACGCCTAGATACTTCCACAGACAGGAACACAGGATATCACAACGATGATTAGATTTGGCGCATTGTCGTGGGGGGAGGGTAGCAGATGTGGATGAGGTTAGTCCGGATGTTTGAAAGCTGGGGGTGGGGCACAGGACCCATATGAAGTGATGACGAAATAAAGTCGACCGAGATGGAACTGTCTGTTCCAAACTGTTTTCTTTTTTCACTCACGGAGTGCTGCAGGTAGAAACAGAAAGAAAAGACTTAGGTTAAACGAGGAAGTACGACTTGCTGTCTGTATCTCTATAATTTTACGTATATCTTTGTGTGTGTATGTGTAAATGTGTGTGTTACAGACTTTCTTTCAATCAAATTATGCCCGTGAGAGCCCAGTTGGGTAACCAAAAGCTTTTGTAGCAGTTTTCAACAGTTGGAAGAATGCATGCAAGTGAAGGGCGAGCTTCAGGACCAGCATGCGCTCACGAGTGCGCATTCACACACACACACACACACACACACACTTTTTTCGAGCGGTTCCCCATCCACCTGCGGTGGATTGTATTGTTTACCCCATTGTGACCTGGGTGAATGCCTCCGGATCGGCTGTATCATACCGCCTGTGTGTGTCTCGCTCCGTTTGAAGATAAATGATAACCACTAAAGCATATCAAGCTACTTGTTTGGCGCTGACCTATTATCGGAAGTGCAGGACGCAAAATACGTATCCAACAAACGAGAAGCAACTGCTTTGCTGTCATTTCAAGGGATCAACTTTCCTGCAACAGGAAACTGAACTTTCGCAATCTACCCTTAACCTCAATACTGAGATGAAATCTGCCCTAATAGAGCCTGATCAGGCATTTGGCGGGACTGATTTGTCTGTGTTTCTATCTGTCCCTTTGTGTGAATTGTTCCCCTGGCTAACCGAGTTTATGAACAATGAACGGGAGTCCCGTCAGTCACTCGGCAGTGTGACACAAATTGACTAACAGTGTTGTTGTATGTGATTCTACAGTGCCATTTGTGATGCATCGCATTGCCAAAGTAAACTAGTTAGACGCACTGCCCGGTCGTTGATTTGGCCGCATGCCTAGAATTGACTTACGAGATCCTCAACTCACTTCTCACTGGTTTCGCCTTGTCAATTAAATCCAGCAATGTGGAAACATTTTCATGCGCTTTGCGGTTTTTCACTTCATGTTTCTTCTGCTCCGTGTACCACGAAATTCATCACATATAGTTCTTTTAGTAGCTGTTCATCGATTCAGTCGTTCGCGTGAACTGCACGATGCCGATCGGCTCGAGTGCATTTATGAGCATTGACCCGTTGAAGAAACAGTGAAGCAGTGTTATTTTATATTTTGTATTGTTCCCACACTCCGATCCCGGTACAAATGAGAGCCATCCGCAAGGGTTTTATGTTCTATCCACAGCGGACAAATTCGATATCCGTCCTCCAGTTTAACCTCCAAACACACAAACACATCCAAACGCTGAAAACAGATCTATGCAAGTAATCAGTTTCAGTTTCAGTTTTCAGTTTTTACAACCATTAACCATGCACTTTCGTGCATGGTGCCTCCTGATTACGAGACCCATCGCAAGTAATCAATTGGTCATACGCGGGCCCCGGTCACACAGACGACGCTGAACTAAGTGAACCAGTAAGATGTATCGAATGCGTCTGTGATGCCTCGGAGGTCTGAGATTATTGGGCCCCTCAATTTAACAGCGAGCTGGTTAAGGCAATTACAGCAGTTGATTCCACCCCAAAACTTCAATTGATGCGCCTCATTTGTCCTCTACTGTCGTTGGATAAGTTCTTTACGACAGGGACATGCTCCTTTCGCACGTTAGTTGAATCACATTGCTGAGCGTCAGAAAAACCGTCCAAAGGGTTTTTCTAGTGTAAAGTCAAAGTGCCTTATTGGAGCGTCTTGGAGGCACCCTACAGCATCACTATTTTTCCCTGTCTTTACAACATTTACAGTTTAACTCACACCTTTGAAATGTTCTCTGGATGATACATTAACTGATTTTTTTTGAGTGCAACTAATCTTGTAACTCTGTCTGTCTGTCTGTCCGTCTGTCTGTCTATCCATCGTTCTTACTGTTTCTGTGTGATAAACATGCGGTACAAAGTTATAGAAGCATTGTAAAGATTTTTCGTTCTCATATAATCATCGAATATATCGGGATTGGAAACTGGACCAAAGGTTCTACTGTAATTCGACCCACCGATCAGTTCGGATCTCCGGACAGATTGTGAGCAGATATAATGCACGTCATCCCTGTATGATTTAGGAACGGACCGGATAGCGATTGAACTCAGTGGTGCACCATCTCTCAGCACAGTAATTCAAAGACTAAGGGTTTCTTTGTCTACGCTGCTTAGAATTGTTTTCTATTTTCACATGAATGCACTCAGTTAGCGATGCGCGTCAACAGAATCAGCACTGTAACTGTCCGCATTCACATGAAATACCGGCCAAGTCAACAAGGAAAATACTCGTGGCTGGTACGGGTGTAATTGTATGCAACAGACTTGAATTTTTTGCAACCGAAATGGACCCTGGAGTTAAACCGTCAAATTGGGAAACTTATCAATGGAAGACGAATAAGGGAAACGAAACGGTTGCCCACTGTAATGTTTCCATAGCTACAATAAAGTACGCGCGATCTGTGAACTTACGTGCATCAAGCTGTTCACGAACACACATTGAGCGACCGGCGTAGAAGAACCGTTCTTCTAAATGCGACCTAACGGTCACATGTTTCATGTTCAAGCTCTGTAGCAGTATGGGTAGCAGTCGAACAAAGTCGATGGAGCATGCGGCCTGTTGAAGACAGCTCAATCGAGATACCTCAGAGCCGCGGTTGTCATGCAAGTTAGCCTGAGAACAAGTCATGCGAAGCACAGAGAGGTTTAAATGAGAGAATAGAGTTGGTGGATGTGATTATACAACATAGAAAAGCTTTACCAATCGTTTTCAAATGCAAAAACAGGACTGTGAAATTATGTGAAATTTTCCCATGCAATGATTGCTTCGATTTTGGATGAAGGACTTGTACTTTCACACGCAAACCGCAATCTGATGTGATGTTCCTAAAGGGAAACACACCATGGAGCTGACAGAGGTTAGATTTTATATTCAGTGTGATGTTCCTCGAGGATATTTCTTTTAAAATATCAGTTTTACGTGCACATATGTTTCACTCGGCCAAGTCTTTCATGGCTAAGGGAGCTTAGTTGACTGTTTCATCTGAATCAAAACAGGGGATAAAAAACCTAATGGGAACACCGCGATCGTGGTTTGGATCTATTCACCATGATTCCAGTATCTATGATATGGCCATTTTATCATGTTTTGTCTTTGTCTTCATTTCAGTGGAGCTGCTAAAAATTGTGTACCAAACTCCAGTAAAATCAAACCATGTTTTTAACTACTGAAATAAAAATCAGTAGACACAAACAAGCCAATAAGCGAATCGCCGGACAGTTAATACTAACAATATTAGCTTGGAAACAGGAAGTAGACACTGCAGACCTGGATGGAGCAAGTTCCGTATTTGTTGTTCTCAAGTGGCAGTGGACATAGTGTCCACTGTGCGCACTGTGTATCGGCTATGGAAATGCCTACAAGTCTCTTCTCTCTCTTCATGCCATCTTTTTTGTTATCGAAGATGGAACATCTCTATTCAGCTGATACAATGGTTTTACTAGTGTTAAATAACCCATCAGGTCGACATATATCTCAAATTGTCCTGACCTGATTGGTTGATCGATAAGGGAAAACCAAACCAAGGGCAGTCAATGCGATATGTGGGAATGTTTTGTGACATTACTGATTAGTCTATACGAAATTGGGAATGACTAAGAGGTCAGCTACGAATGGAGTTCATTGTATGATCAAACTTCAGTCATCTGATTAATCAAAAGGAACATAGGCACACTGTCACAAGTAGATTAGGTGGACATACGACAATTGAGCAACATGTGATATAATCAAATTGTAGTGTGGATCAGCGCGGAGAGGATGAGCTATTTATGAGCCCAAACAAAATGGCCAGACTAATTACAAACATGGATCGCTTCAGAAANATTGATCATAAAACAACCCTGTTTTACAGAACTACTTGCTTATAAGGTGATAAATAAAATTGTGCTGAAAAGAGTTGATCATGTGGGTTTGAATTAAAGCGCTAGCAACAGCTGCTTATTGAAACCAGAAATGTGCGCATAAAAATACTTGTTCAGACACCTAAACTTCCTAAACTTCACGCATGAGCGTTGTGATGAACCAAATCAATTATTAGCACTTACGTAACTCGTTCTTATATGAGAACTGGAGACAAATGTGTCCCCAACTCACCTCTTTGTTATAATTATGCGACCTCAACACAACACCCTCCCGCTATTTTCTTACATAAAATGTGATTGTGATAGGTTGAGAAGGAACTCACCGAAAACATTTGTTCGCCTACGACCTGGTTTGCGAAACTGTTAGTTTGACTTTAGAATGAAAACACTTTGATTGGATCCGCTGCCGTTCAGTGCATCTCATTGGTCAAGTGATCACACGTTTTTTCTACCCCACAGAGTCTCTTTCTCAAATAAAAATGACAGTTTCTCAAATCAGAGTGATAGTTTTTCAAATGAATCTTAAAATGATTTAGTTACCGTTCATCAAACGCCTACACTCAGACACACAAAACCAAGTGTACGTTAGTCGTCATTTCCATTTGAATCTAACAGGTTTCACTAAATTCTCCTGAATTCCTCCACCTAATGTTCTCGAGTTTTGAGTAAATGGTCTTGATCTACTCCTAATTTATGTGAGTCTTATTTACACAATTCAACAGTTTACGCTTCAGTGTTAGTGCAACTTTTGTCAGATAACCAATCATGTGATGCATCTGACCTTGAATATTTGATCTAATCAATCGAATGTGTGCGCGCATTGTTTTGTCTCTGGCTTGTTAAATCTACACAACTGATGTGTTTACCGATACAATCTATTTGTTCAGCAGGTTTGACCAAATGAGTCAGAGCTCGTAACACAGCAGTAGCACAAATATGTGGTGATAAGTCATATCAAGCATCGTTGCTCATTCTGTTAATCCCATCTTAGAAGCACGACGAGTAGGGGATGTGAGAGTGAAGAGTTTATATCGCGTGAGCAGCTGTTGCAGTTTGATCCTAAAAGACTGGACTTCGCTATTTTTCTGTAGTTTGTATTTGGTGGTTATTCACTGTTTGCTAAAGCGTATAAAGTGAGCATTTTATTTAGCTTTTTCGGACTTAAATAGCAATTTAGGCCATTAAGTATAAGGAGATTATTTATTCCTCGATCGATTCATTTAGTCTTGTCGTAGAACACACTTAGATCTTCATCAATTATCGACAAGCTGCTTAAGTCACTGTAAGTTACATGCCCCGGACTAAAGTTCAAGGCTCCACTCTTGCCATCTTGATTCAACCTGAGCGATTGATATCGCAGATTTTGTCTTGTTGGATATCAGAGCTGTCCCACCGGGGACGTTTATGGTTCACCACTAGAACTTTTACGACTTAGGTCACCGCATCCCCCAATCCCGAAACGGAAGATCTTTGTGATTATGGGGTTTGACCCGGTCTAAAGGTGCATCAAACAATGCTATTTAACAAACAGACTTGAATAGATTATACTGACTATCCTTCGAACTTCACCATTCACGCACAATCCTCAGTTCATCGATTCAGACATACGTTTCTAAAGCACGAGACTTGAGTTTCGTTCTTATTAGAGCTCATCAGAAGTAAATATGCACCACCCCCGTCCGGAATTTGAACTCCGGACCTATCGCATGGAGGGCGTGTGCGTTACCACTGTGCAAACCAGCTCATACCATGGCTGAACCAAATTGACAATTCATGTTTGTTCAGGTGTCGTCTTCAGTGGTAGCCAGTCAGCTCAGTTGGCCCGACAGCATGGGTATGAACTGGATGTGCACCACTGATGAACTCTAATGAGAGTGAAACTGGAGTCTAGTGCTTCCGAAATGCATGGTTGAATCGATAAACTGAGGATTGTGCGTGAAGGTGAAGTTCGAAGGATAGCCAGTTTAAACCAATCAATACTAATTATCCCACACCGCTACTTACAAATAATTGTGAGTTAACTGAGAATAGACTATTTTTCATCAGATTTACGGATGTGGGCTCGTGGGAACCCTATCTAATGGGGCGAGTAACATTTATTCCCCAGATATACTAAAGGAATTAGAGGATTTCCCAAGGAGAACGTTGCTAAACAATGGTTATCCAGAAAGGTTTATTGATATTCACACTAGACCATTCTCAAAAGCTAACCCAATCCAAAACGTCAGCAAAAAGGCCATCTAAATAAACCTTGCGTTCCAAAGTGAGGTCAGCTCTAGAGCTTAAATTCGCAGCCGCTTAACTCAGATTCATTGCTTCCACTGTTGGAGTTGGTTTGGACAAATGTAATCATGGCTGGCAAACTGGTTCTGTCTCACACAATGTATACCAGTTCACATGCAGTTACGGTGACACATACATAGACAGAATAAACCGTCAGCTCTCACAACGGATGGCCGAACATGTTCCCAAGTGATTACTGAAATCGATGAAGCAACCGGTAATTGATGGTCAAGTGATCACAAGACATCCACGGTCATCTGTTGCAAAGCCTCTTATGACCATACGATACACAGTTGACTCGAGTTCGTCTTTCAAACCATTATTACGTAACCACAATGCTGAAATTTCGGTTATTAGTGAAGCGCTGCTTATTCGATTAGATCATCCGACCTTATGCGAACAAAAGGTTCTGATACAATCTATCCGCTTACGGTGGAGTTGACCTTCTGCTTCTATACTTAGTAATCTTTGTATGCCTGTTCGCGTTTGTTCACCATAATTGATCAACTCTGTGTGCTATATAGTATGTGCCTGTTTGTTTTAAGTCATGATTGAGAAGATTAAACGAAATGCTAACAGCTCGTGACATTTGTCTTCTTGATGAGATGTACTATTGGGCGCTCTAATCCTAGACGCGACAACTTCCAACCTCCCTTTCGAGTACTGCATATATGTGAATGTATATAAACACAGATGTTTTGAGATACCGTCATCTGAAAATCTAGGCTCCGATGTAAAAGGTGTGACTCATCAGCTTGCGGTTCGTACGAACGCTCTGCTAGTGGATAAGCTAATAACATGACATCAGACATTCTCGGCAGCAGAATGAATGGCGCAATAAACTAGATGAAATGACTGGTCTACGCTGACGCATCTTCGAGGAATATCTGCTTGAGAATATTCTAATATTGACACTGAAAAAGGAAAGCCACTATCCGATTAGATAGTTCAAGAGAAATCCGAACGGGATAAAGAAATCGACATTGTGTTATTTGCAATGGAACTTCGTACATTACTACTGATGTGTCCTCGTAAAATCTGCGAAAAGTGTAATAACTGGAATTGTGTAAAAGGCCGCAGATCGATATTTTTACAGTCCCTTCTCTAATTGGTGTCTGGAGCGGTGAGTGCGTGATTCAGCTATCTATTTGCGGGATTTTCACTGGACCACGAGTCGGAAAAATCGACCAGTGAGTTGTGAACGACAAAACGGTTTACATTCAATTCAAATGTAAGAATAATATCTATTTCTTCTTTTAAGCTATTTCGTTCGTGATCGGATCACTAAATCCGATCAATTGCTTACCTTAATTAAGGGATCGGCTCCCGCGCGCATCAGTTGATCAATCGACCACGTTAGATCGTATCGATCCGAGTGGGCTGCGATTAATCGATGCAGTATCGTTGGGCTTTCTGTGGATTGTACAACAAAGAGTAGAGGAGAAACCAAGTCTATAACTTGGAAAACTGTGTAATGACCATCCGAATGAACAACTCTTTCGAAAAACAACAACCCAAAAGTTTTCAACGAAACAATTCGAGTGTGATCTCATCTTCCAGTCTGATTGTCGACATTTTTTTGGGACTAAAATATTTTGCTGAAAAAACTGCACCAAACGGGAACATAAATTACACTATTTGGTCCAGACTGTCCAGCGGTAGTAGTAGTTGTACTAAATTACTCCGGAGAGAAGCTGCACTTGTTATCAAACATGAACTTTAGCAATATTTAAGTGATCGGCTTAGAAAGACCTGCTAGCGGCTCTGGCAACGTTGATTGCTCGTGAAAATTTTCAGCTTCCTCGGTGAAGCGTTGGTTTTGGCCAATTTGTGGTTTCTTGAGTTATATATTTATATATCACATCAATTTTTACAGATAGGGCAATAAAATATTCATAGATTTTCCGCAAAGTATAGAAGAAGAAGGGGGAAAACAAAAGAAACAGTTAACATTGGGAATAATAAATTTTATCTGTATGTTTACTGCACGCTATTTTGACTGTTTTTGTTATATTTTTAAGATTATCTTTAGAAAAGGATGCATTTACGCCACTAACTTCGGTTTGATGCCATGTATCGCAGTGTCTCTAGGCGAAGAAAATCTAAACCGCTGGGGCCTTAGCCGGGGAGCTGGAAAGGCCCGACGGGAGCCAGATCAGAGCGCAATCTCTTTAGCTCTTTACACCACGTCATAGCCTGCTCTACTCGCTGTTTCTTTCAGCCCGGACTAATGTCTGCAGCTAGTGCACGGTATGGCAAATGTTGCTCAGGTGTTCATAGTACGTGCCCTGACCACCTAAGACAATGCAGTGAAATTGTTTTTCCTCAGTGGAAGACTATCAGATCCGGCGTCCGACCTGGTCGTTATTCACGTCATACGCGGGAGATGTTGCACAGACAACTTTGATCGAAGAGGGATAGTCGTTGGACATGATCTGCTTGGAGAGGCCAGGTTTCGCAGTCATAGAGCAACACGACGCGTACCGTTGCGCAATACGCGCCCCTTCACCGGCACCAGAGATGTTACAATCAGTGAGAGATTAGTCACTGTGAGTGTGTGTGTGTGTGTGTGTGTGTGAATGGGCGGAGGGAAGCCTTCTGTTTGAACTCTTGTTCATTACTTTTTGGATTAGAATTTTCCTCTGCGGCGTGAATTGATGCTTTGCCATGCATGTATGTGTGATCACTATAAGTGTTACGTTTGGAGTCAATTGTCCAGTTAATGTAAAGAATCTGAAATACATAATATCTACGTTGCAAAGATTGATACAGTCGTCTACTGGTCGGGAAGTGCATCTTGTCTTGAGAAAGGAGGGCTCATGAATCTAAATTCGGCGGTGGCTGTCATACATGGTGCAGGTACTGGGCAAATGGTGAAGGTCACCAACTTATTGTGTTCGAATCCCACCACTCCCTATCAAACTTTCCTCATTTCCATATTGCATGGCAGCCCTCTGATTGACCTTTTCCCTCTTCCTGAAAATTTTTTGTCACTGTTTATTAAATAAAAGAAAGTGAAGTGAAGAGATGAGAAAGCTAGATGTGAGATCTTGGTTGCCAAAAGATGACCCACGGTCTCTAAATTGAGTGAGAAATTTCGTTCTAATTTCTGTCTTTTCTATATGAATTCACTTTCATAATGATGATTCGACAATTTTGGCCTTTTTCAGTCTAGATTATTCAATTTGAAGAGAACTTCTTCTTCTTGCTAATTCATCAGTTGCATCGGTATAATACGTATCGCTGGAAGCGAATATTGTTTCCAGATACGCTTGAATAAAACAAACAAAACGGTTCGTGTGCACGGATTTGTTTCCGGACTGATCGTTTGACCATATCTCAGCTGGGGCTTTCTCCGGAACAAAAAACACTACTTGAGTATAATAAGTAATGATAATCTGTTTCATACGAACCCACTTCATTGCAAATTTGGTGCTTGATTGTTGTTATGATCTATGCAAGCGCCAAAAGTCCTTGCTTTGTCGGCAGAAGTTCTATGTACGTCATTCTGATCTTAACGGGGTAACCATCTAAACGAGAGTGAACTATAGTAGTAGTGCTAGACTATCATCAATCACCATGTAGAAGCTATTCGGTTTTTATGAAGCACACATCCGCCGAGATACAGCGATATGGTTTCCATTTTACCATCGAAAAGACGTGCCCTGGGCGGACCCCAGACAGTTATCGCGATTTCCGTGTAAGTTAAATAAGTGGTCACGTGTAAGCCCAAATCAAAACTGACAGTATTGCCTGAGCTCAGCTGGCATTACATATACGCGGTCGGCGTCCACGTACCTATGGTTACGATCCTCATCAATACGGTTGATCTGTTCACAATAGAAACGCTCACCAATATCATTCGATTATCTTCCACAAATCATCAAATGTCAACATATGAACCACATCCCCGAAAATTTCGGTCATGAATTCATACTGATGTGCTTTATTCATTATGTTGCTCATTAAGTCACGCTGTTAGAGAGAATCAGTCTCGGTTAATTTTCGTGGTATAGTACTGTCACCGTCACCCTGTTTGTTTGCGACTTCACGGTCGGATAAATCAGTTTAGCAAACTCTTAATCAAAATCAGTTTATTCGGTCTCTCTATACAGTAGCAACACGGTATCCTCTGCATGACACCGAACTTGATCAACCTGGGCGTTTTGGTTACCACGACATTGCGGAAAACAGGCTGAAGTTATAAGGAGTTCATGCACAACGAATTAGCTGAAATTGATTCATTGTAATGAGGCGGATTGATTGTTTCAATATAACAATAAATAGACAAAGATATAATCAATTCCTGACCGACACGATAAATCAGCAAACAGAACACGATGAATTGACTTGGTTAAGTAATACACATGAGAGAAACATCGCATGGAACGTAGCCATTGATATAAGCTCGACCAATGAGATGTAAGGTTGGCCACGTATTCACATGAGTCGCGCGTTTATCAAAACTTTTCAAGTACGAGAAATAGTGCCTTATTTGTCTGCGTAGGTGAGGTGAATTTTCAGTATTATGCTCACGAAAAACACGTTCCCATAAATTACCAGGGCACAGAAAAACAAAGAATTAATTAGCAGCATAGTGGAGTGATACAACATCAACAAAGTCAATCAGATTCTGCTTCTCAGCCCGTAATTCACTGAACCCGGAAGATCTCATGCAGCAGTTTCGGTGTACATTAATTTCTATTGACTCTCGGTTGAGATGTTGAGCATCCAGTTTGGAAGAGTAGAGTGTAATGAAAAAAATATTTTCCGGGACTATTTTAGAACTGTTATATCTGCACGCCCCTGGTTTGGGAAGAATATGAGTCAGTGATCTGCTGACTGTAATAATTTTTAAAACGATTTACAGGTTCAACAGACGATTTAGATAGACCAATAAACATTTGGGCTTGTCAACACTGGTCAATTCGATAGTGAAGCCCCACGAGTCTCGTGCCATTTGGTGCAAGTCAATTGCGCGGTGATTTGCTCTCGTATTACAATGGAACTAAAATATTTTTGCAAGGGGTATCATGTTTATATAGGACAAATTCACCTGCATCGACACATGACCGCCCACCTGCTTGTGAAGGGGCCTTAATGTATTTGCCAATTTCAGTACGATCACTGAGCTTCAGCCAGACTGAAATCACCAGATGACAGTATAAAAAAACCAAATGAAAAACGGACTGAATTAAGAACATAATAGCATTTGAAAAGGGGCTACTGTAATCTACAGTTAAGAGCATCTTTTCTAATGCATACACGTGGCCCGATTGATTGATTGATTGATTGTCTGAGGCTGCACGCGCGTCATACGAACTATAGCTCTATGATAAGGTCGATGCGTCTCAGCAAATCAAACATCTGCATTAAACTGTTCGTGCTCAATGATTCTTTGGCGATTTTCTTAACCATTTTGCTATTCGCATTTAACATCTGCTGCATGAAGGGCCTAAGTGCCATTGTTGAGGTTGATCGAGAGCGAAATTTCAATCTGGTGCTTACCAAAGAGGGAGGTAGAACGGAAGAACTGAAGATTGCTAGACAAGATGAAGTTTCAAGGATGACCAGTCTAAATCAAGGCATCTATTCTACCGTACCATTCATTAGCAACTATGAGTCGAGTGAGAATTCGCATTATGATCGGGCAAATTTTATTTTGTTCATAAACAAATGTGTATCGATGGGAAACCCCTGAAGCGCCTCATACTTCAAAACAAATGCCTCTATTCATTCATCCCTAGTGTGTGTCGAGCAACATCGAAAGCGGGGACGGATAGGTTCAAGTTTTGTCCGTAATCAGTTCAAGTTTACATTGCGCAATCGCTACCCATCCCTATATCAATCCAGTCACATGTACTCATTTCATTTACGTAGTCACATTCAAGAACCTTTTGATCATGAACACGTACAACGTGCTTGACTTTGTGTGCGTGTGTGCGACATTTTGCAATTCAAATCGGTTCACCAATGCCCACATGCGTTTCCCCGGGGTTTCGTTATCGACTCACGACAAGCAGGTGCGCACTTCATTGCACTTTCAAGCGGTGAATTTTCCCTGCAATAAATGCCCCTTGAACGAATATTACGCTTAGATGTATATAAATATCGTGAAGTGTTATATGAAAGACACTTCAGTTACGCTTGTTGCGATTAGTAGCATCATAACTCGCCTGAACAACGTCGAGGCATTGAATTGATCCGTATAAGTACACCCGGAATGACAAATTAGGTATTTTTAACAAAATATACTTTATAGGAATGACCTCACAAAAGATTATCAAACATGAACGCGGAGAGAACTGTGGAACCGGTCGTGTGTTACCAGGGCTATTCTGTCAAATCATTCAAGTACCACGTATTTTAATTTCTTTTTCAGTTCTCTGTGGGGAATCAATAAACTGCTGGGGTTGTGAGTTTTCGTCGATCAAGCTCACTCGACAGCTAGTTTATTCGTATCGGGATTCGTTAGTCGTGTATGCCGTGTCAGTGTCGAGACGCAGACCAACGCAAAGACCCCAATGTCTCTGAGTTTGATTAAACCTAAACCACAGATTTTTTCTGACATTTTGAATCCAAAACAAACAGTATGCCTTAAGTTCACACCAGTGAGGTCATTTCCGATGGGTGTATGTGGAGGGGCATATTGATCAAATGAGTGAGGTTTCTGTCTGGTATCATGATTCAGGTCCACCTCTGTCATATACGTTTATGTGTAGAAGACCGAACAGCCAGAGTAGCTTTCTCGTTCATCATATTCTCGACTGTTCGCTGTTTTCATCCAGTTACAGAGTGCTCAAAAAGCAAAGACGAACAAGAGAGACAAGTTCATCTTGGACACATAGATACTGATGAATGACCCTGTGGGATAGGCGATAGCGATTTGATCAATCATCTTTCGGGCTTTATGTTCAAGCACAATACTCAGTTGGTCCAGCTAGTCATATGGACCACCGATGAGCTTGAAAAAGAACGAAACTCGCATTTGGGGCTTACAGCGTGAGTAAGACCAGACTGGATGAACTAGCTAAGAATTGTGTTCGAGCATGAGGTCTGAAGGATGCTCAGACGATTCAATGAAGTGGGTTCCATACATCACACCAGCAATTTATCACCGTACACCTATCAAGATCTTACGCGGTTCAATGATTGAAGTCTAAGCGGTTTTGATGACCGAGGGTATGTGTTAGATCTTAAGTCTAACACTCTTTAATGCTGATGTGGATGAAAACGAAAAGTTAACCCCGAAAATCATAGTTTCAAGTGATTTTGTCTACACGTTTTGAATCAGATGAAGACCGGTCGTTAGCATTTTATCCAGCTCGCATGCAATTATACACACACACGAATTACCTTGCATAGACATACAACATCCACAGGTTTTCTTATCGTATTGGTTGTGCAAATGGTGAATCAATGTAATACAACACACGTGACTGCATGACGTTTCGAAAGCGCAACCGCAACGCGTCGCACCGCACCGCGCATTGAAAGCAGTGCTTGATGCATAAGCCAATGAAATACAAATAATCATCCATGTCTGCACCTGAGCTAGCGTCCGGCTTTTTGCGGTTTTATCGATCTTATATAAAAATAGAAACCACCGATCGAGGTCTGCCATATCACATCACCTTCGACCAAATAAGTGCATGGCAGCGTTTTGAGACAAAGACCAGCGTGTGAATGGCTCGAGGCATGACAATGCCTAGACCATAGCCCTCAGTCGGGCCAGCGGTTATCAGTTATACAAAGTTAAAAGGAATAACCAAAGAACTAGCGTAATGATCCAACATAGTTCTGAAAGGAAACGAATGATCATCCGGAAACTAAGGTCTTACCGAATAATTCTAAGCTCAAACAGTCTCATTTGCAGTCCGAAAGCATTCGACTCGAGGTTTAGAGTATCAAGTTTAGATTTGTCCATTCGACTGTTCAGAGGCACCAGACACTCTTGATGGTCTTGGCCGTATTTACTTTAATTCTGCCGAACTTATCCTCTTCCTCTCGTGTGTTTTGTTCACTGCGGTAATCAGTACAATCTTGGGTTAGATTTAGCTTGTTCTACATTAGGGTGGTGGTGGTGCAATGGTTTAGTCACTATCACCGGTGCGCTTTGGACCGTATGATCCGAGGTTCGATTCCCACCAACACCACCCAACTTTGGTAGTAGGCAGCTTTGCTGCCGTCTGGTTCAATACCACGCCTAACCGTGTGAGGTCTTATGTGGTTCGCCACTCCAAGTCCCGAGTCTTAGGTTACCGGTTTCTATCACTGAACGGTAGGTATTCATGACTATGGGTTTCAGCCCGTCTGCTGTTAAATACCCACTAGTAAGTAATAAAAAAGAATAATCCATTGGATGGTGTAATTAAAGCTCTAATAGTACTTGAGTTTTCTCTCTCCCGACACTAATCCAACGACTTCAAGCAAACGGGAACAAGGCGACAGCTTATTTAGTTTATTCTTCCATGGTACAACAAGCAATAAGCATTATAACTGACCTGGATTATCTGGTGTTTCTCGGAAGTTCACAATCGCGTCCCTCTGCTCCTTTTCAGCAATTTGGCTGATACAGTCCAACAAGAGCTGAAAGATTTTCTGTTGTGCCGTCAATCGGGGTCGGTCCGGCAGACCGTTCTCTGTCAGTATGCGCCCGTACGGGCCGGGAGCATTCAACGCACATTGAGCCAGAACCTCGGGTGATTCCAATTCGTCTGGCTCGTTTACCTGGGATAGGTTAATCAGGAACAGGGAAGGAGAGGGGCAGGTTTCGTTAAAAAACCAAAATCTGAATTAATGCTTTATAACTGTGGTAAATACTTATATCAGTAAATCGATGGGTTTCTTATCCTATTGTGTTTCCAATGTTACCTTGAAAAAATATCATATCGTTTAACCTTATTCAATTGTTTCATGCAGATTCTCTGGAACTAAAGTATGAACCATACCGAGGCCTCATCTAGCCCCGGATCGAAAAAATCCATTGTTACATTACACAGAACACGTTTCAAGTGGAACCAAGGATTAATGAAGGATTTGATCCGATCACATGATGATTCACATCACGTTAGGTTATGGAACACTATGACCGGTTCAGCAAGTAAACCATTTCGGAAAGTTTATCATAGAGTCGTAACCCCGAGAGTTACATGTTCACAACAAGCCTCTAATAAAATGCGTATCAGAAAAATGAAGTGATCAGATCTGGTCCCCAGTCGACAACTGACCAGCCTACTTCTGTTCTACGCAAACTACAGTGGTTGCGAATCCCGAGACCGAGAATTCGAGGTCCATCCTGCAATATTTTATTCTATGGTCCTATTGTAGTTACTGTTCTCTCGCAATTTTCACCGGCTCTCCGAAAGAAAACTTTGCCACAGTTTATCAGTTATTGGCCTTGTTTCATCACCTGTCATGCAGGTTTTAATCATCCAAATTGTTCATCACCACACTGATTTTTATCTCTCTCTGGTTCGGCCGGTGGTGGACCGGTGGTAACGTCACCAAGTTATGTGTGTATGTTATGTGTGTTCGAACCCCACCACCACTGCCTGATTTTCCCCTTTGTGTGTTGAATGATCGCCCTGTGATTGGTCGCTTCCCCTTCCTGAAAAATTGTTGTATTTTTGTATATTCGGTAAAAGGAAGTAAAATGAAAAAGAAAAAAAAAGAAAATAAATACTACCGCCCCCCCCCACCCTCGCGAACTCCACTCATTCGTAACATAACACATTGTCGTTCGCATTTATTCAGTCACTCAGAAATCCGGCAACTGTCCGCTAGAATGGGATGCAAAACAAGCACCGATCGGGTTTAGATGAGTGGAGGAAGAGTACAAACAGAACTAGTTACCACAGCGGAACATTAACTTAACCAACTTTTGATCCGATTGTTTGCTTTAATGGGGCTGGTAACCACGTTCTTTCTGTTCATTGTTTTTCGGCATTCTGAAAACATATCTGACTGTAATGTACGCGAAATGTTTGCACAAGTTTCGCGGTACAAATTCAAAAGCATTTCTGAAGTCCGAATTCGATCCCCAGTTGCATAGATAGATGGTATGCCTGATGAGAACCAACAAAGTCAGAGAAACCGACAGTGTTTTCTAGTTTCTCATTTCACGTTTTTTTTAAATTTTGCATGTGGTGAAACGCAATATAAAATATGAGATCCTTTTCTTGTTTATCAATTTCCACCCACTTGAATAGGCTGAACGCAATATAGTTGTAATTGCAATGTAGTTGTAATTGTTGATGGATCATTTTGAATCTGTTACAGTCAAACTGACTGAGCTCAAAATCGGGAGCAAGGACGTGTCTAAAACGTATCAACGTGCAACAACCACATTCGGTTCATGACCATGTGACTGGTGCGGCACAGTTATCAGTAATGGGAAAGTCATTGGCGAGTTCGATATCACATTTTCTGTTGCACGCAGAAACCGCTCCAATACCGAATATTAGAGACCACCAAAGTAATCGTCATCACCGTTGGACTCACAAAACAATGAGCTGTGCATATCCTCGAACTTTTCTGAGTGAGGATTGGTACCATCGGCCAAGATTAATTCATCAATTTCACACGATGACATCTGTTATCCGTCTTTGCGCGCGCGCGCGCACGCGTTCTCTCTTTGCCACGTTTCTGACCCAACCGAATGACTGACCAATCAATGATATACCGAATTTGACTGGCTAATAATACGGAAAGATCCATATTTTCAATCATTTGTTCATTGGCACTATCAGTACCTGTAGGTTTCGATTGTGGACTGTTCACCCGGTGGATTTCGGGGGTGCACACACACACACACACACACACACACAACTATTTAGTGCTCCAGTCATGGAAGGCAGTTACAAAGTTGCCTGCACAAGAGAGCGGTTATTGTTGGGGTCCAACTGAACGGGATTCAGTTTTGACTGAATAGACCACTATTTGATAAGCATAGATCGGATCACGTCATTCTAGGCTCGTTTCGTATGTATTAAGCCGTTGTTCCATATAGTTTGCGGATACCAAAAGCAACAAAGCGCGCGTAAGGGGCAAATCGAACAGAGGTAAAGTCACATCATGAGCATTGATTTTACTGTTCAATTTTCAACCAAGCCATGTAATTGATTCAATTGCAAAGTTTGTAAAAATTGAGAAACCCACTAGGCCAGAACAATCCGCACACCACTCTGTATAACCGCCCGAGGGTTATGCTTAAAGTGCAACAAGATGTTATCAGACTTTCATGAACGGTACTCTGTGATTCGCGGTTCACATTGCGGAACTATCCACTCAAATACGGGAAGCAGCCGGTGTTCGTCATTCGGTTGATTGCAAAGGATTAGCAAAGCTATCACGGTGAGGGAGTCGGTAAGTGGATCGTGGTAAAGTCTACTCTCCGGATAACGAAAGCATACGACACACCAAAATGAATGCTTTCCCGGTGAATGACCCAATCGAAAAATATTATCCTGGGGCACAATAATCGGTGATAAAACAGGCTCCAAATAACGCCATTCTGATGTGCTCAGAGGACTAAAGTGGTCATCTCATAATCCTTAGATCAGGAATATAAATCTCCCGGTTTCGATCGGACACTGAAATGGGTTAGCGAACTCGACGGCTGAAAACAATTCCTTGGATGTTCGATTGACATTGAAGAGCACGTCTTTGGAGAGAAAGATGCGGAGCGACTTAAGTAGAAAGATAGAGGATTATATATCGATTGGAATATCTTTGCCCTCCATGAAAAGCAATGGAGATTCTGCTTCGTTGTGCGAAGATAGTTAGTCTGTAGAGAAGAATAGCAGTGAGTTGGTTTTCGTCAACGCAACTATACCTGATTCGAAGTACCTAAGACTATAAAGAGAGTAATTTAAGAGGATGGGAAAACAGAGACCGATCTTTTTCTTCCAGGATAGAGACGCTTGGGGCATGCTGAAGCGTGTTTGCATCATATTACACCTAATTCAAACTAGCATCGATTGAATGGATCAGATCAGTAGATTTTGTTTCATGCAACACGCTGCTGCCGATTAAATGCAATGGATAAGACGACGTTTTAGCGTTCCAAGGACATGAATGTGTAGTTGTGGTGCTCTGGTATTGAACTATCCTCAGGGGCTCCTAATTTTGGAACTGGTTCTTAACATATCAAACTGGTCAGACGGTTAACTTGATGTGTTTAAACACTAATTTATCTAGAATCACCAATCCTGTTTACCACCCCTGGCCTCTTGCCGTGCAATTACAAACAACCGTTTGACCGTTGTGGACATTGAACTGATGTCCATCACCTAATATTAATAACATTTCACAATAGCCTAACTGTGACTCCTAAACACATACACACACACGCAAGCAAACAGCCTCTCTCCATCTGCATTTCGAGGTTTACTCTGAGAGTTTCAGTTTCAGTTTCAGTTTTTACAACCTTAACCATGCACTTACGTGTGCCGGTTTTAGTTGCTGTCTTTTGGTTGCCCATTTGGATAAATGAGCGAAACGAAGATTGGAATGTCGAAGCAAATTCAAGCAGAAGATGAGGAATAAATATAGAGCGATGTGAGAAAAATAACGAGTGGATGCACGAGCGCCACTGTTTGCGACACCCAGCCATATCACTCAGTGTAGCTAACCATCGGTGACCATCATCCCGAGGTCCCCAGCCAGGAAGCCTAACGGGGCCTATGTGACCTAGTCTCCTGGTTAGGGTTTTCATACCATCATGCCAGGTCTTAGCTTGACCGCCCTTGATCTTCTTCCAATCACTACCAGCCTCGGCAAACATCGTTCACCGTGGCAACCTATCTGGTGACATGCGTAGCACATGTCCCAACCAGCCTAATCTATGGAGGTCG